ATTAAGGACTTCCGCCTCTTGGGGCTGGGAGGCTGTGGGTGGTCAGGGATGACCTGGGACCCTCAGGAGCAGGCCTTTGGGCTGCAGTGCAGTCTGCTTCCTTTGGGGCAGAGGGTGCTGGGGCCAGTGGCCTGCAGTGTGCACCTCCTGTCTGCTCGGAGTGAGCCCTGACAGGCTGGGCTCACAATGGTGACCCAAGAGCCACCAGCCAAATGAAATTCAGGCCCAAGGACACTCAGCAAGGCAGACCCGGCCACACACCTGGCAGCCTAGGGCTGGTGGCCAGCTATGCAGTGTCCTCTGCATGGGAAATGTGGGCAAGAGTTTGTCACTTCTGTTTGGGAGGACAGATTTAGTTCAGAAGTTTGGGATCAGATCTGGCTGCCATTATTTTTGTGGATAGTTTTATCTGAATGGCACGTGTCCTCGGTCCATCTATTGTTCAGGCTGCTCTTGTGCCACAGAGCAGAGCAGGGTAGTCGCAGCAGGCCGTGGGGGCCACAGCCTAGAATATCGACAGTCTGGTTCTTTACAGAGAAGTTACTGACCCTGGCCTGCACCAGTCCAGGGCTGGGATGCGCACGCAGGCTTTGCTGCGGGTAGATCCAGGGAAGGGACAGGACTTGCGAAGGGCCGTGAAGGGCTTCTGGAAGCAGGTGTGGGCGCGGCACAGGGCAATCCAGGCCCCTGATGTCGGTGGGCTTGGCTTCAGGGCAGATGGTGGTCTAACAGGGGCTTCAGAAGAGGGGCTCTAGCCCAGCTGGGGCGTGAGGTTTCACCTTGTGACGTGCTGTGACAGCCATTAGGGGTCTTTGTCAGAAAGAAGCTGCTTGGTGGTGCAGACTGCCAGGGGAGAGGGAGGAGGGGCTCGGACATCTGCCAAAAGCAGCAGGTTACAGACATGGGGAAGATCTCAGGGCAGCTGTTCCTCAGCGACCTTGGGCCACCAGGGACTATGGGTCCCGAGCTGCCACATGATTTTCCAGGAGAAATCTGCAGTCTGGTTTTCATGGAAAATCTGATTTTTTTACAGTTTTTTTACAGTTGGCAACTGGTTTGACTAGATCACCAAGCAGACAGCATGCGTGCCCCTGGCTTGCGGCTGCAGATTGGGAGCTGGGGTTTCCAGGGCCGAGGGGGAAGTGACATGGGAATGGCAGAGGGTCCAGCGAGCCTCTTGCAGAAGACTGCAGGCGGGCTTCAGGCCCCAAACAGAGGACAGGAGGGGCTCTGGGCCTGGTGCAGGCTGGGGAGGAGGTCAGGGAGCAGGGCTCAGGCTTCCTGTCTTGATCTCCATCCCTGAGCAGCGGAGCATCCCTGCCTGCAGGCTGGGAGGTGGGGGTGGGGAGCCAGATCGTGGGATACCTCTGCTTACCTGGCTGACCTCAGGGGGCCTAGTGACCCCTTGGAGGACTCTGAGGGTTCCTCTGAGGTTCTCAGGGGTGCAAAGTGCAGGCAAGACTGTTTGGGGCTGAGTGTGCTGCTCTGTCCTCAACAGCCTGTGGGTTGATGGGCAGAGGCTTGGCCTGGAGCTGGGCCCCAGCTGCCTAGTCCCTTTGCTCCTGGGACCTCTGAGACACGGAGAGACCTTGTCTTGCAGGTTGCCATGGTATCCAAGAGCAAACGGGCGTGGTTTCCGGTGGCATCTGGTGTGCGAGTGACTGGGGTCTTGCTCCCCATCCCGGGAAGCTGTGTGCACCTCCGCAGCTTCAGAGGGGTCTGCCTGACTTTCAGCCTCACAGCCCTGCCCCACCTGCAGACTCGGGAGGCTGCCCTAGGTCCCCGGCGGGCATCGTTAGGGATGGCTATTGTTGTGGCAGGATTCGAGGTTTCAGTGACGGCAACCTGGTCAACAGGGCCGAAGCGAGGAAGAAGATGCCCTGGCTCCTGAGCAGAAGCCCCGGGTTATTTCAGCCTCAGGCAGCACGGGTGCCCCATCGCCCGGTGTGGGCTTCGCGCACAGCCGGGGCCCAGGGCGGGGGCAGGAACAGGCCTCGGGGCAGGTTCGCGGCCCTTCGCAGGAACCGGGCGGAGAGTGACTTCCACCGCCGCTGAGACTCCCAGGGGCGGTTCTCATTGGCTGCTTGGGTCACGTGCGTGGGCCTGGCCCAATCGTTGTGGGCGGGGGGCGGGCCTTGGCTGGGTGGGTCCTGCTGCTGGCCCGGTAGCGGGGCACCTGGCATCCCTCAGGGAAATGGGGATGCCAACACCGGAAGGGGAGTGGACAGGCCGAAATGGCCCCCACCCAGGCGGACCCCCGCGTCGGGCCGGCCTTCCCTCCCCACACCGCGCGGCCGAGGCCGCCGCCTCCGCAAGGCTCCCCCTCCCAGAGCCTCCCCTAGATGTCAGGGCTTGGTCCTGGGTTGAAGGGAGCGGTGCCGGCCTCCGGGGCCTTTCTTGAATGTTCCAGGCGGCGACCTGTTCGAAAAAAGAGACCCAGCTTGTCTGGAGTGGCTTCTCTCCTGGAGGCCCTGTGGGTGCCTCGAGGTCACACCAGAGAAGGGGCTCTGTCATGACCTGTCCGACCGGTGCTGGCACCGTGCTCACCTCCCCAGCGTCCCCCTTTCCTGGCTCCCCTCCTTCTCCAGGAGAGATGCCCGGGGACTCTCCTGCACCAGGTCTCAGGGCCTAGGATTGCATCCTAAGCTACCAGGGCCTCCCCTTCCCCTTGGCTCCTTCATAATCATATGGATTTTCCTCCTGTTTTGAAAGCCATCTCCTTTAGTAGATCCATTTCCAAAGGAACAGGGGGTTTCCTGCAGAGGCCACTTGGTAGGGCTGAGACATTGGCTCAGGCCTGGCCTGGACACTGACCCTTTGTGGACTCTTTGCCATGCCTGGGTCCTAGAGGTCAGGAGGAGATAGGCCATGTCTTTTCAGGATTGCAGAATGCTGTTGGCTCAAGTTCTACACCTGGGTGAAGACTGACATACCAGTTACATTTCCCAGAACCTTCCGCCAGGGCCAGGGCCAGGTCCAGGGCCAGGAGGAAGAGTTGCAGACACCCTCAAACTCGGGTCCCCACTGCTGCCCCACTTGGGCTGCACATGGTCCTTGAGGGCTCACTCCCCAGGTGCTGCAGGGATACCTGTGTCCACTGATTCACCAGGGCAGGAAGTAGCCAGGGAAGTTTCTGGGAGAAGAGGGGCAGGTGGAGATGGGCCCTGCCCTCCTACCCACAAGCAGCCCACGAATGGCTGACTGAGGATTGGCTGAACGGACTGTTCTTTTTGCCTCCTGTGAGGCTGACCCTTGGCCAAGGTGGATGGTTTGTCCTGGTGTTTCAGAGGTCAAGGTGTTGACACAGGCAGATGTGAGGTCCCTAGACACCAGGGTATGTTCTTCCTTCTTTAGAATCCTTGGATGGGTCACATGCATGGGCCTGGCCCAATCATTGTGGGCGGGGGCGGGCCTTGGCTGGGGTGGGTTAGAGGCAGAACCTGATCACACTCACCTGACGGGACACCTTTGACAGCCTCCTCTCTCCCCTGCTGCCTGTTCTCTTTCTGCTCTTTGAAAAACATACCTAAGTGTACACACAGACACACACCTACGCACAGACACACACACACACAGACCCCATCTTGCTTGGTAGCTTCCACCGCTGAGTTATATCCCAGCCCTCGTGTAGTCCTTGCGAAGTCTCCCTGGGGCTCGTGGGTCAAGTTCTCTGCGTGGCCGCCAGGAGCCCGTGTGATCTGCCTGCACTCACACGGCCCACTCTAGCCAGAGGGGCCACCTCCCCAGCCACCTCCATGCCCCCCTTGGCGCGTGCTGTTCTCCAGCCTGGAGTGGACCACCCACCGCTCCTGCTCCCTTCCTCTAATTCCCGGTGCATTTCTGCTGCTGTCATCCTACATGACTCAGCCTCGGGCACCCCCAGCCCCTCCAGGGAGAACTGGCCCCTTTCCTGGTCCCCAGGCCTTTGTGCCTTGTCATGTACTCGTGAGATGGGGGAGGGGATGGGCCTGGATGAGAGGATGACTTGGGTCATCTTGAGTCTGGGTTTGCCTGCTGTCCTGCTGTCTGTGTGGGACACAGTGAGGGCACAGCCATCGGTCACTGTGGGCTGGCTGCGTCTTTGCCTGGCATCTCTGGCTGCAGCTGCAGGCTGGAGGGTGCAGAGGTGACCAGGAGCTGGAATGGCCCGGAGCTTTGGGGAAGGGAGAGGGTGGCGAAGGGGTCTGCTGCCTCTGTCCCCCTTGACCTTACATGCCTGCCCATCTGCCGGGGCCCCAGGGAGCAGAGCCTGGTCCCATGAAGACGCTCCTTTCCTTCCTGGCAAGCCTCAGTCATTGGGGTCAGCCTCATTCTTCATGAGAATCACAGGAGCCTCGGACACCCCAAGGCCAGGCCTCACCCAGATCAGTGATCCCAGGCTCGGGTGTGGAGCCCAGGCCCCAGGACTTCATAAAACTCCGGGAGAGTCCAGTGTCTGGCCGAGCCTGACCCCGGTTGGGGGTGGTCCTGCCCGATCCTGGCTTTCCCTGGGTCCCTCCAGCCGGCTGGGGCAAGTTGCTCAAGGGGACCCTCCCTTCCCAGCCTTGGCTCCGCGCAAGTGCCCCCCAGGAACCAGGCCGTGAGCTCGTGAGAGGCGCTGGCGTGTCGGCACAAGGTCCAGGTGGCGTGGATAGGCAAGGGGCTGGCGAGCAGCCCGTCTCCACTGGTCACGCTGCGTGGGCTCTGGGCAGGCCCCGTGGAGCTGTGGTCCCGTGGTCACCACGGCAGCGCTGGCCCATGGCCGCCAGCTTGCTTTCGAGGGTCTTCCCTGTAGGGTCTCCTGAGCCTGATCTCAGGACCTCAGCGGCCTCTGCTGTGGAGACGGTGCCCCCCTGGCGGACTGGGTCCCCTTCAGGTGGTGGCTTTGGCTGTCACAGGCAGTGCTGCCAGAGTGCAGGGACGCCTGGCCATGGGAGGCTCCCCTGGGGGGTGACTGGAGTTCCCTGGTCTCCAGGGATGGCTGCCAGGCGCGACAGAGCCTCTGCGTTTTGTCATTGCAGGCACCACCCGCACCAGGACCCCGTGCGTCTGAGCTGCCCGTGCTCTACAGGACTGAGGACTTTGTTCCCGTGGACGCCCGGGAGGGGGAGCGCCAATCCCGCTGAGCCTGTCACAATCCCCTCGAGGGGGTGAGGCTGGGTCCCAGCATTTGGATTTCCTCTGCTTTTGTTGTTATTGATTTTTTGCATTTCTCCCTGAGGGGCCTGGGGCAGCCATGTCTCGGATCCGGTGGCAAGGGTGCCGCCTGCTGCCTGCTATTTTAAGGGATGAGGTGCTGAGTGGGGCAGGCTGTGCCGGGAATCGTGGGCTGCAGTGCGGGCATGTGGCCTGCAGACCCCATGTCCCCAGCCCTGCCCGACATCCCAGAAAGGTGTGGGCGCTCACTTGTGGTCAGCTGGGAGGACAGTGGGGATGTCAGTTTCTTTTTCGCCCCTCTGAATTTTCTTGGAAGCTGCCTCTTTGCAGTCGGCTTGCTCTAAGCCCCTGGCTGAGGGGAGGCTGCAGAACCAGAGGCCAGGGGACAGCCAGGCCCCTGAAGGTGCGTTTCTTTTCCTTTCTTCAAAAGACAGCTTCCTGGTGTTGTCTGAGTTCTCCAGGTTCTGAAATCCTCAGGGCCCAGCAGACACGGCACCCCTCACACTGCAGTTCAGGGTCAGAATGTCAAGGAAGCGTGAATCTGACAAGATGGCCCTGGACAGTTGGGTGGTGCTAATGTTTGGGAAATCTCTGGAATTAAAAGATAGAGGTGGGTCCTGTGTTTCAGGAAGAGTCAACATTTTTCTCTTGGGGCCACCTTTATGGAAGTATAACACACATTATAGAAAGGGGCCCCTGTGCCAGGCACTGTGGTGCAGGGCTGTACTCTCAGCGACTTGCGAGGCTGAGGCAGGAGGATCACAAGTTCAAGGCCAGCCTCAGCAAATTATCAAGACCCAGTCTCTAAACAAAAAATAAAAAGGGCTGGGGATGTGGCTCTGGGTTACACACACACACACACACACACACACGAGAAAAAAGAACAAGGCACCTTAGTGTGGAGCACTAGCTGCCCACACGTGGAACACATTTGCGCAGCCCGACCAACGCTGCCAGCACCCAGAGCCCCCTGAGGCCCCTTCCTGACAGTGCTCCCTGCAGGCTGGGTGTCCTCCTGTGCTGGCCTGGAGGCTGCAGGGCACATGCACCCAGCATGTTGGCTTTGTCACTGGACCTGGATCTGCAGGAGTGTCCCTACTGCCCCCGGGTAGCTGCAGTGGCCATGTTGTATGGATTGAGGCTGCTTTTAATGAAGAAAGCCTCGCACTCTCCGCACCCCCGTCTGCCCAGGGACAGTGGATTGGATGGGAAGCTAATGTTTCAGACAAGCAGTTAGACACCACTCTCGAAGGCTAAGTATAGACACCAGCCTTCTTTCCCCTTCCAGGGCCTGACCCAGGGACCAGGGAGGGCTGGAAAGGATGCCATGTGACCGAGCCATAGCAGTAGAAGGTCCTAAAACAGAGAATGGCAGGGCCTGGCAGGAGGGGATCCTGCGGGCGGCGCCTTGCTCTGTGCGCAGCTCAGCTGTTGGGCCGAGCCTCGCTGCTTCCTGGCCACAGCCTCCTCTTCAGGAAGACCTATGATAATGGCTCCTGCCCGCTGGCTGTGGTGTGTGCTTACCCAGCGCCAGCAAGGATGGCTATGTTGTGGTCAGTGGGCTCAACAGGGAGGACTGTGTGCTGTTTCTCAGGTGAGCAGTGGCACCCAAGGGTCTCAACAGCGAGTGGCTTAGGGACTGCCCTTAAAGGTCACAGAACAAGTCGTGGAAGGGTGAGGTGCTAAGATGCACCAGTTCTCCCGGTGCATCATAATGCACATATCAGGTTGCATTAGAATCTTTAATGACACTGCTGGAAAACTCGTAGACAAAATGCTTTCTTAGGCCTCAATGCTATCAAAATAAGATGTGTGCTCAGACCCAGTCCTGCAGCTCTCAGAACCCAGATTCTACACGAGAAAGACATGATAAAGCACGACGATGGCCTCTTCATTGAAATAGCACACAACTGGGCAGAACTCGAGCATTCCTCAGGCGTTGGCTTTGCATGTCCCCACTGTGGAACAGGAGCAGGTTGTAAAGATGGATTGATTGGGAGTTCCTGTGAGTCGGCATGGAGACGTCGCCAAGATATGAAAGCCAAATGCAGAGAAATGTCCATAATATGCTACCATCTGTGCAAAAATGAGAGGCATGAAAATTCTCAGGATAAATAAAAACTGGAGAACAGGGCGTGTGGGGCGAGAGCGTCCTTTCCACTGTACTTCTTTTTCCTTTTTGGTGTTTTGGTGTTTACCTATTGAGAAAATCCCCTGAAGACCTATCGCCAGCCGCTGGAAATCAGGACAGCCATGGAAATAAGCGGCTCCTCCTCTTCTGACACCTGGGGCATCTGGCAACCCTGGGCTCATGTGGCAGCAAGGAGCTGGAGCCTCTGAGGGGCTGAGACCCTGAGAGCCAGAGACCCAGGGCTTGGGGACTTCCAAGGATATGGGGTGAGGAGATGCCAGCGGGTGGCATGTCCATGGCGGGGGATGGCAGCTGCACTGCAGCTCCAGCCATTGGCAGTCTAGGCCACCTCTGTGCCCCAGCTCCCAGATCCCCAGGGGTAGGTGGGTCCCATCATAGAGGTGCCTGCTGTCAAGGCTCTTGCTCTGAGGGATGGGAAACAAACCAGACCTACAGGAGGGCTCCACAGCAACAGCCCTCAAGACCCGGAGGCAAACCACACAGCCGCAGAGGCAGCAACCCAGAAAAGGACCACACACCTGACCAAGCAGATTTCTCCCAGGAATGCAAGGTTGGCTGGTTTAACATTTGAAAAATTAGTATAACAGACAATGTTAATAAAGGACAGAGCCCTTGATCATCTCAGTGGATGAGCATAAAAGCTGACCAGGATCTGGTCTCTAGTCCTGAGAAAGCTCTCCTGCTTGGGGTGAAACGGGCTCAGGGAAAGGGGTTACGGTCTGGGCAGACACCTTTCCCCGTTCTGTTACAGGGTTCCACAGACCCCTGGACATGTTTTGTGGGCCCACGCAGCTCCAGGCCTCTCCCTACCCATCTGCAGCAGCAGCCCTTGGCCTGGTCAGGCACGCAGGCAGCCTGGGCTGGGGGACCTCAGGGAGTTTTGATTGCAGGCAGCTGTCACAGAACCTCCCTGGGAAAGCACTGAGAGTTGGACGGGCAATTGCCAACTGATGGGTGGAGGCAGTGGGTCTGTGGGTCTCCTAGGTTTGCTGGGACTTCTGGTGCAGGGTGAGTCTGGTGGCTTCCTGTGGGGGAGGAGTTAGGGAAAACTCCTCCCCCACAGGAAGTAGGGGACATGTATTTGTCAGGATGAACACATGGTTCCTCTGAAGAACCGAACCAGCAAAGCCTGTCTCACCTTGCCCACCGGGAGGATCTTGCCAATTCTTCTAGAAGACTCTCTGCTATGGATTTTACAGGAAGTCATCTTCCTGGAGCCAGGTCAGGGGCCCAAGAGCAGAGGTGGAAGAGTGGCCCAGGAGCATGGTGGTGTTCCCAGGAGCCCACGGCTGCTGTAGCAGTGACCTCCAGGGGCAGTTCTTGGGGTAGGCCAGAGCATCCAGGCACAGCCAACAATGTGTTCTACACAGAAGCACCAGGGCCAGTGCCGTCACGTGGCCCTGTGCTTTGGAATCAGCTGGGCAGCACCCCAGACCAATTATGTCAGACCTCTGGAGGGACCCTGAGCAGCTCTACAGCCCCCTAGGTGACTTCAAGCTGCAGCTGGGGCTGGGTCCATTTTCAGGGATACCAGTGGAGAGATTTCCCATGACCAGGCCCCCTTCCCCTCTGGTTCACCTGGGACACAGGTTCCCTTTAAGAAGTGTCCTGTCCTCACCATCCCTCCCATGCCTTCTTGAGTGCAGCAGGAAGTTGGATTTGAACTGGTTTCTGGTTTGGGTTGAGGGGATCCATCTCAGCTGCTGGGTGTCAGAGCAGCCTTGTGCCTGGCCAAGGAGCTGGTGAAGTGAGCAGGTAACCTCTGCTAAAGAAAGCAGATGTCCCTGGAAAAGCACCTGGCGCCTGAGCCCAGGCTGGGTCAGGAACTGTCTCTCAACCCTCAGGTCAGTGCCCCCAGCAAGAGTCACACCAAGACCAAGCTGCTGATTCAGTCTCACGTGGCGCTGTGCCCAGGATCCCGCTCTGAGTTTCCCTCAACAAACAGCAAGTCTCAGCCTACAGCTGAGACTGTCCTTAGTTTTATCTTCATTAATGGCAAACTGTGCTGGCTCTCCTCTTTTGTAGTGAGTTTCCATCATTTAAAAAGCGGGGATGAAGCCCACCAGGAACACAGAGCAGCTGCTGAACTGATGTGGCAGAAATGACAATGCTGGCTGTGGCCTTGGGGATCCTGGTCCCAGACGGCACCAGGTGGCACCTTCCCCAAGCCTTCAGGTCAGCACCTGAACCCTGAGGGGTTAATTCCTCCGCAGGGTCGCCGTCTTCTGTGAGGGCTGGGCAAGGCAGGCTGTTCCAGTGCCCAGCGAGTCCCAGGCATGGCTGCTGTGGGGTTCTGAAGACGTGTTCAGTACACATGGATTCTGGTGGGTCTAGGAGCCACCTGCCCTGGCAGGAGGTGGTCCAGCCCTTGCTCAGAGGCCCTCCCCAGCAACAGGTGCTCTCCTCCTGGAGACGCCAACACAGCTTCGCCTACCACAGAGCGTCGCCAGGCAGGTCCGCAGCTGTCCTCTTCTTGCTCCCAGACGCTGCCTGGCGCACACCGCGGTCCCAGCCTGCACACTGGGAAAGCCGTTTGTTTCCAGCTGCTTTATCAGTCTCCTTTAAAAGGGCTCCAGTCTGCCGTCAGGAGGTCCATTTCACTTACAGTAACAAGACTAAAGGTACAGCAAGACTTTTATTGCAAAAAACCAGTTGAGGTTTACATGGCCTTAGGCCTTAAGGCCAGATGGTGGCCTGGAGTGGGGAAGGACAGGAACATTGTATTCTGAACACAACACAAACACACGAGGAAACTACAACAGTGGGGAATTCTGCCCGATTCCATTCAGCGCCTCTGTTCTGGCACGGACCATGGACCTTTCTGCTGGGTCCTCGTCTTGGACAGGGCATTTGAAATCAGGACTTGAGGATTTTCAGGTGGTAATTTTGACTACATGCAACTTTCACCTCTGACATTGACTTCTAAGCACAAGCCCACCTAAGTCGTGGGATTTCGAGCACATTCAAGTCCCACTGGGTGCTCAGTATTCAGGCTGGAGCAAGCTGATGGTGCAGTAGCAGCATGCAGACAATCACCACAGAGTGGCTGTCCTGTGCCACAGGTTTGGATTTGATTTTGAGCCAACCTCCCAGCAGACTGCTGGATCCACCCAGGGTATGGGCTGCAATGTCTTTTCTCTGGACTCTCCTGGTGACCAGTTGGTGATTGTCATGTTGGAAATATCACCTCAGGATAATGAGAGCAGACTTTTCCTTCCTGTGGTCTTTTTTGAGATCTGTCCGGGTGAGATGTCCTTGTCAATATTTAGGTGAGCCAATCTTGCAACCAACCCTTACCATCTTGGTGAGCCGCGGGGTGGTTAAGAAACATGGGGCACAGCAGGTAGAAAACCCAGTGCCTCACTTTGCTTTATAAAGCTGACACAGTGCGTTCTATTTAATTTCATTAGGTACAGATTTTCCATCACGCAGGCTAAGAGGCACAGTCACATGGAAATGACCTTGGGCCCTATCTTGAGGGGTCAGAGCTGGCAGTTTGAGATACAAGTATAGGAAGACTCCTCAGCACTGCAGCCATCACCTGGCAAGCAGCAGTTGGTGACAATTAGTCAAGTGTTTTAGATGAGGAATTTCAGTCTTTAACAGAGGGGTTTTGAAAAGCAGACCCTTATTTGGTCCATTTCTGAAATGGGCACCTTAGTAAATGGGCAGGCGTTTGGATCACATAGACACAGCCACAGGCAGTAAGAGGGACAAGTCCATTTCTACTCAGATCTTAAGAGGGGACCTAAAGCTGTTGGATACACTCCTCCCCATACCGGCCCAATGACAAAGAACCAAAGATGGGATTTTAAATAAACTGGTTTGTGCTGAAGAGGGAGGGAAACCTTAGTCCTGAGTCTGACTCTGGGACTCATTGCTACAAGAAAATTTGAAGTGCAAAAAAGCAAAGCTCTCTGGGATGAGTAATTAGGTTTCTTTATTAGAAATCTGCAGAATTGTTCTGCCTACAGTTCTAGGCATTCTAATTGCAAGGTGGTTTTAAATGATCACCAGTTTATTCCAAAAGCAAACAGCCGCAACAAACATTCTTTTAAATGGCTTTTATTGAGACAACTTTTAGGTCTTCTGCAACAATTCCAGTTAGGAGTCTGTTTATTTTCAACTTTTTAAGTGGCTGAAACCATTCTCTCAATGGCAGAAGACCCTTCCACCACCAAAGCAAAGAGGCAGCCTCATCTGCTCAATGTCCAACCAGCAGAGACCCTGGGCCACTCACACCCATGCTACTGAGCCAAGTGTCTAGTTCTGCATGCAGGACACCCACCCAGGCTCAGTTCTTCCCACGTTTAAATCAGGCAGAGTTAATTCCCACAAACATGAGATGGCTTCAATTCACCTGCTATTTCTGACTTGGTAATCTAAAGCACCTTAAATTTGGGGCTACCCTGCCCTCAATGTTGGCTGCACACAATTTTGTAACATAGGCGGTAAAACAGATCTAGAAATTCTGTGCTGGCCCCACAAACCCTACATGTTTAGTTCACTCTTAAACTTCTGCCCGCATTGTTTTTAAGAAGCATTAATAATCTTTTAGGGAGCATCTCAGGCAACAAGAATACTTCTTGGGAGAGAGTGTTAGAAAGTTATGGAAGTCAGCCACTTTAGACCTCTTTAAGTCAATGTCTCCAGGGGTGACTGACTTGCCACGATATGGACTGGAGCATCCCATCGTTTTTGCAAGGATGGAAATGCTGAACTAGTCCTGCTCTTAGCCCAAGTTGCTCTGGGGAATCTGCATAGCAAACATATCAGCTCTGCACCTCAAGGCCCTGAATGTGGCTCTCCAAAGCCTATTAAGAGTCAAAGGCCTGTTTAGCACAACTGTTCCCATGACGAGGTGAAAAGTAACACTTCATTCGTTTAGAAGAAAAAACTAATTGGGCATTAAGATTCTGCTTGCAGATCAACGCCAATTTTTGCTTACATCCTTTTGTGACATTCATGTGTGTGTGTGTGTGTGTGTGTGTGTATGTGAGCACAGGCTTTGTC